AGCAGGGAGCCTGATGCGGGGCTCGATCCCAGGACCCTGGGACCATGACCTGAGCTGAAGGCAGACGCTTAACGACTGAGCCACCCAGGCGCCCCAAATATTCTCTTATCCTTTAAAATATATGTATCATCTGGGACACCAGGGTGGCTCGGTTAACTGTCTGGCTCTTGATCTCAGGGTTGTGAGTTCAAGCCCCACACTGGGTTCCACCTCGGGCATGGAGCCTACTTAATAAAATAAATGATAAATAAAATATAAAATAAAAAAATAAAATGATTCATCATAGTTAAAAAATAATACACAACTCATAAAGAAAAAAGTCAAATAATACAGAAGAATATAACATAGAAAGAAAAGGTCCTCCTTGAGCAGAGGTTGGCAAACTTCTTCTGTAAAGGACCAGAAGGCAAATATTTTAGGTTTTCAGGCCCCATATAGTCTCCATAACATATTCTTTGGATTTTTTTTAAAAAACAATCTTCCAAAAATCTAAAGACCATTCTTAGCCTAGCTGTATCATCTCCCTAAAAATGAACCTTTTAGAAGGGTTTATACATATATAAATTTTTTGTGTATGTATTTATTTGGTATACTTTTTTCCCCCATTTTTTCCTTTTAAGTAGACTTTTTTAGAGTAGAGCAGTTTTAGGTTTACAAGAAAATTGAGCAGAAAGTACAAAGTTTCTACTCTCTGTCCCCTACATGCACAGCCTCCCCCACTATCAATATATGTTTTTTATTTTCTTTTCTTCCCTACCAGCTTATGGTTCAGCTTTCCCTGACCTAAGTTATTATATAGGTTTTCTTTAGCTTCCAAAATTATTCTGACATCTCTAATCTGCCATTGTCTCCTCTCCTATTCTCTCTGTTCTTGTGGATTTATACTTTTTTTTTTTAAATCTCTATAATGTTATCTTAGTTTTAAGAGTTAGGTCAGGTAAAGGTATATATTTAATCATGTTAGCCTATAAAATTGTATGTATATATTAGTAGAATCAAATTACACATACTGCTTGATGACCTGCTTTTTTAATTTAACAATATATGAACTACTTTCCATGTCAAAATATAAGACTCTCTGTTATCCTTTTCATGGCTGCATAGTAATTTATTTATTTTTTATTACCTTCTTAAAAATAGATAATATGTAACATAGTACAGAACCATTTATTTCATTTCCAAGTTTCCTCTTAGTGAACATTTTGACAATTTCTGAACTTTCGCCATTAAAACAGTGCTACAGTAAACTTAATCATGCATATGTAAATTTTGTTATACATACCCAATTATTATTACTTTTTTAATTAGGCTCCACACACAGTGTGGGGCCTAATGTGGGGCTTGAACTCATAACCATGAGATCAAGACCTGATCTGAGATCAAGAGTTGGATGCTTGGAACGCCTGGGTGGCTCAGTCAGTTAAGCACCTGACTCTTGGTTTCGACTCAGGTTTTAAGATCGGGCCCTACCCTGGGCTCCCCACGTAGTGCGGAGTCTCCTTAAGACTCTCTCTTCCTTGTCCCTCTGCCCCTCCCTGCAGTGCTCTCTCTCTCTAAAATAAGTAAATAAATCTTTTTTTAAAAAAAGAGTTGGACACTTAACCCAAATGAGCCACCCAGGCACCCCCTAATTATTTTCTTAGGATAAAGGGCATTGTAGGGGAATTTCTAGCTCAAGGGGTAGGCTTATCTAAACTTCTGAGAATTCCCAGTTGGTCCTCTAAAACATTGCCTTCTCCCAGTCATATATGAGAATGCCCATTTACCCACCCCCCTTACCACCCTGAGCATTCCTAGCCTTTTCATTGCTGCCTAGCTGATAGGTGAAAAAGGAATATTATTTTAATTGTACTATTGTTATTGGTGAGATTGAACATTTGTATATGTTTTTTAATTGCCGTTATATTTTGTGACTTGTCTGCTCATGTTCTGTACACCAGAGCTTCTCATATTTAATATGTACACAAGCCACGGTGAGCTGAGGATCTTACTAAAATGCAGATTCCGATGCAGAAGATCTGGGGTGGGGCTTGAGTGTCTCCATTTCTAACCTGCTCCCACGTGCTGCAGTGCTGCTGCTGTGTGGGCCCCACTTGGAGTAGCCTTTACATTTTTTTCTTACCAACATATAAAAGGAGGTTATATATTAGAAATATCACATGGGGGCGCCTGGGTGGCTCAGTCAGTTAACGGTCGGGCACAAGCAGAAGTAAAGCAAAAGTAAGGAGTAGTGCCAGCCGAGTTCAGCTCTGTGGTGTGTCTTTTCTACCGCAGGCAACAGATGCCCTTTATGAGGTGTTTGTGGGCAACAGGCTCCGAGCAGCTACATTCAGACTCTTTCCTCAGCTTCTCATGACACTGCTCATCCAGATACACCACAGCATCGGTCTCACCATGTCTGATGTCGCCATCCCAAGTGGCCTGTACACAGAACAGGAAATGTCTTCAGAGGTCACCCCTTTGTGGTAATGCCTGTTGTGATTTCACTGGCCTTAACTAACACTGAGCTCTAGGCGCTGTGGTAGACACATGGATAGCCAAGATGTGGTTCCAACCATGGGAGAGCTTACAGTCTGCTATCATGGGACGTCAGGATGAAATGCCCAGGAATCATTCTGGGCTCTCACTGGTTGGTTGTCTGATGGTTTTATTGGCGCCAAGATAAACTCATTAGAAATTTATTAGTGTCACGGTGGCACATGACGTTCTTTCAGAGGAAGTGCTGTAATGTGGATTATTTAAGAACACCTGACTAGGGGTGCCTGGGTGGCTGAGGCGTTGAGTGTCTGCCTTCGGCTCAGGTCATGATCCCAGGGTTCTGGGATCGAGCCCCATATTGGGCTCTCCACTCTACGGGAAGCCTGCTTCTCCCTCTCCCACTCCCCCTGCTTGTGTTCCTGCTGTCGCTATGTCTCTCTATCAAATAAATAAAATCTTTAAAAAAAAAAAAAGACACCTGACTAAAAGTCAGGAGAACTGAGTTCTAATTCTCATTCATTTAACAAGTTACATACCTTGGGCAAATCTTCCTATTGTTCTGTGCCTTGGTTTCCCTATCTGTAAATTAGGTCAGGCTAGGTATTCTCCAAGGACCCTCTAGTTCTAGGATTCTCTGGTGTTATATCAAGCATACTAGTTCAGCAAGTAATAGAGATATTTTATTTTATTTTTTTAAGTAATCTCTCCACCCAGTGTGGGGCTCGAACTCATGAACTGGAGATCAAGAGTCACATGCTCTACTGGCCCCAGTTGTGGGGGTAGTTTAAAAAACAGTGTGGGGGGCACCTGGGTGGCTCAGTCAATTAAGCATCAGACTCTTGATCTCAGGGTCATGAGTTCAAGCACCTCATTGAACTCATGATGGTGTAGAGCCCACTTTAAAAATAAATAAAATAGAAAAAAAAAACTGTGGGTAATTTTTTGAGGGGGGTATAAATTATATCTAAATAATGCTTTTTTAAAAAAGCAGTGGGTATGGGTTTAGCATCCCATATCATTTGTTTTATCATAGATTTCTTTTCACACTCCCAGGGAAACAAAATCTAGTTAGATTTCTTTACGCTAAAAATTTGTGTGAAGGGCCTTTCAAGTTATTAGAACATTAAGAGTCTTTGGGGGAAATCTAGAAAGAAGAGAAGTACCATCCAGAGCTATCAATGCATGCCCTCCTCAGTGAGAAAGCAGGGTGATTGTGTGCTGATAAGTTGAAGGGACCTGTTCTATTCACTTGTACTGGTTTGGTTTGATTTAGCTTCGCCATACAGGCTACAAAGACTCTCCTCCTCAGAACATTGTGCTGGCAGGAATTCAACATCATGGAAAAGAATAAAGGATGGACCCTCCTGGAAGGAAAAGAGTGCCATCTTCAGGGAGTATCTCTCCTTGCCAAGTAAGACTTCCTTGCCATGCTCTAAATCAGCATTGCTTTAGGTATTTTTCTCCCGTCTAGTTAAAACAGCAACCAAGGTTGAATAACATCACAGGTTAGGGAAATACCCATAATGCCAGGCAGATTTTCAGAGGTCCTGCCACCGCCATACCGTCCTATGCACCTAAAGCTGGGCAAAATCCTCAGAGGGCCCCCAGCCCTGGGAAGAATGCAGTCTGGATAGGAGCATTTCTAAGAGGTGTCCTGTTGGGTGTTGTGTTTTGCAGTGCGTTGCTAGAAAGAAATCGCCTCCTTGCACATAAAGTCATGTACTTGTTGGTCCCTCTTCTTAACCGAGGGAATGATAAACATAAACTCACATCTGCAGGATTTTTCGTGGAGGTAAGATTCGTTAGAAGCTGGGTTCAGGAGGCCTGTAAAGCTGCAGTACCTGCCTTCCTGGGCCCTGTCCAACTTCATGGCAGGCCAGGATCCACCTCAGATGTGGGACAGAAATAGTTTCAGATTCAAGCCTACTGACATTCTTCTTGCCATATATTCATTAATCGGCATTCCTTAGATACCCACTGTGTAAGCATCACCCTGTAACGTAGTAGAGGTTTCAAAGGAAAAATACACATTTTGGAATTGGTGGGAAGGTGGCTCCCCTCATGAAAAAGGGCTTAAAGGTAACTTCTTTGGCTGATTTCTGGGTTCTTTCAGCTTCTCCAGAGTCCAGTGGCTAGGAGACTGCCCAGCATATACTCTGTTGTCCGCTTGAAAGACTGGCTACATCATGGAAATAGTGTCTTCAAATTTCTTGCCCTAAAGGGACTGCGCTATCTTATCAAACACCAGGAGATGGTAGGAGGGGCCCCCAGACCACTGATTCGTAAGTCACAAATCAAACATACCCCAGAAAGATACCCAAGAAACTGGTAACAGCCAACAAGGAAATTGGGTAGCCTGGGAATGGGAGCAAGTAGGAATACATCCCTTTGTACCTTTTAAATTTTATGCCTAGGAAATATGTAAGTACTGACTTAAGTATTTCATGAAATCATAAGAAATAAGTCCAAGTCACGTATATTCATAATATTTGAAACCTATAATTTGTGTAAGGAGGTACCCTCCCATCTCAGCCTGGGTGACATTCGGGTGTCCTTTTATGTCTTGTACCATGTTGCCCTAAGAGTACATTGGATAGACCATGATATCTGCTCCCAAGATGCGTATCTTCTAAACAAGGATTACTGACATTCATGTTGAAAGAGAGCTCATTTTCTGTAGGCCTAGCTAGAAACTAGGCCTGGGTCAGAAGGAAAGATCAATCCCTGGGCCTTCAATTTTATCACTTGAGTTCTATTTTTTTTTAAATATTTAAATATGTATGTATATCTGAAACAAAGATGACAGATGCTAGCATGTTAATTCTGGTTGTTTGGATACACGAATACTTGTTGCCTTATTCTATTTACTTTTTACATGTATGTTTTAAACGTTAAAACTCTGAGATTGCTTCCTTTTGGGAGTTTCAGAAGAACAGAATCCCAATTCAGAATGGGAAGGACCCTTAAGGGTCCTCAGTCCATTTCTGCTTGAATTCCTGCAAGGAATCTTACTGCCTCTGGATACATTCCATGTTGGAGAATTCACTGACCTGAGCTAGCCATTCCACTTTCTCTCACTGTGAGCAATTTCTTACATTAATCCTAAGTCTCTGTTACTGGACCGTCCCACTTGCTCCCACTTCTGCCATTATGAGGCAACTTACAACACCTCTGCCCCCCCCCATCTACGTATCAGCCCTGCCAATACTGAGAGGGCAGTCATGCCCTCTTTACTTCTCTGTTCTCAACTAGCCAGCACTACCAAACATTCAACAAGCACCAGGTACTGAGTAAAGTTGGGAAGCCCTACTTTGGTACCAGATGAAGTGCTGTCCGGAGGGTGATGGTGCACTCCCTTTGGGCACACAGAGGGAAGGCATCAAGAGCCTGTTGCCGTGCATCTTAGACCTCTTATGTGAAACCGACGAGAAGATTGTTTTGTTGGCCATCCAGATACTCTTGCAACTCGTTGGGATAATGGATTTCACCACCCTGACAGCCATGATGAAGACCCTGTTCTCCCTATTTGGTGATGTAAGACAATGAGAGAGGAGAGACTTTCCTAGGGAAGGGTAATGGGCATAACAGCAAATAGAAATTGGGATAGTAATAAATATACTCTATTTTATATAGTTCTTTTTATGTTCACAGCACTTTGAAATCTCCTCTCTTAAGACCCTTCCAGGTAACTTGTGATGTTAGTAGGACTGGTGTTACTATTTTTCAGATTAAAAAAAAAAAAAACTGAGATGTAGAGACTTGCCAGGGTACCACCCTGAGCATGGGTTGGGGAAGGAGTTTGTATAAGAAAAGATGTCTTTCAAGGAACAATCAGGACTGGGTCAAGGTGGTAGACTATACATATGTCCCCATTTCAAATCCCAAAGATTAAAAAAAAAAATACATGGAGCACAATGAACCACGTCCTCGGAAGAGTCAAGCATGGCAAGGCTGGGATTCTGAATTTCAGCAAAACAGCTTGTGTGAATAGTTAATACTAGCATCAGGCATGAGCTGTGCTGACTACATTTCTCATTTGCAGAGTGAGAGAACAACCATACTACAAAGCAGCAGGTCTTGCTATCTTTATATATATTTGGCTTCTTGCCCTCAGCTACCTATAGCTAAATAGCCTCATGTTAGGACTGCCATTTCAACCAATCTAGCCCTTATAAGTTAAGCATGAACACTTTCAGTGACTTGCTTGCCTTTGGATGCTCCCTTTGTAGGTGAGACCTGATGTTCATCGTTTCTCCATGACCCTCTTTGGAGCCTCCATAAAGTCTGTGAAATACACAGATAAGAAGAGTGTAGAGAATCAAGTCCTGGACAGCCTGGTCCCACTACTTCTGTATTCTCAGGATGAAAATGATGCAGTAGCTGAGGTAATGCCTCTGCTAACTGCTTTCATGCCCAAATAACTTCTAATCCAGAGCCAAATCTGCAAATAAGCGTTCCATCTTTGAGGGCAGGGACTTTATTCACCATTTCCGATAGCACAGACTACATTTCAATTATTTTGCCTAAGTGAATTTTGTGAAAAATCTTACTCCTTCTTTTTGTAGCCCACCCCAATATGTAGCCTAGCACAGAGCCTGAATACAGTGCCAAATTCAACAAACTCTTTTTTTGTTGACAATGACAATATTCCATTATCTTTTTCTTTTATTCAAGAACTGCCTGCTGGCCTTTAGACAAATAGACTTGTGTTGAGGCTAAGTCAGAAATAGTAGCTTCTCTGACAATCTAGAGAAACCTCTACATCTCCTTAATCTTCCAAGAGTTTCTGCCATGGAGTTGTGGGTAGGATATCATCATCTTTAGTACTGTCTCATACCTCAGGAGCCTGTCCATTCCAATGTGCTAACTATGACCACCAGTTACAACAGTTCAGAGGTGTATTTAGGCTGCAAGGATTCTGGAAAAATGCTGGAGCTTTCCCCTACCCATGCTCCCCATTACAGAAATAAAAGCAGGATCAAAAATAAGGTTATGGTGGGCCCTAGTACCTTAATCTGGGGGAAATATTATGGTCTTGTAACCAGAAATATGGAATATTTCAGGGTCGCCTGGGTGCCTCAGTCATTTGGGCATCTGCCTTTGGCTCAGGTCATGATCCCGGAGTCCTGGGATCGAGCCCCGTGTCAGGCTCCCTGCTCAGCAGGGAATCTGCTCCTCCCCCTCCCTCTGCTCCTCCTTTGCTCATGCTCACTCTCTCTCTCTCACTTGATCACTCTCTCAAATAAATAAATAAAAATATTTTTTAAAAAAAGAAATATGAACTATTTCAGACCCCAATAAAGTATAGAGTAGAGCTTCCCAACCAACTGATGGAAAAGTTTGCCCTGTAGGAGTCACGGATATGTGGATGCATTGATCCCCATCTCACCTTCCCCCTCTCCCCCCCACAACCCCTGTCAGCCCTTGGTAATCAGGCAAGGCATAGAGCAGCCAAGGCTCTGGGCTTACTTTCTTTCAAACCTTAAACGATCCCTAGCCTTGTCTTCAAGATTCTTCAGAGGGTAGCCTAAGCAGAGAGGTGAAATCCAATATTAAACAGGTTAGGAATCACTAACACAGAGAACATAGTCTACCACCCACTGTAAGAAATAAAACAGGAATAAATCATGCACCTATCCCCAGTTGAATTCCCCCAAGAACTATCATCCTGAATTTTATCACTTCTGTGGTAATATTTTTTTCATGTCCTAAAATGTTACATGTAGAAAAAAACTTTGTATGTTGTATCATTTATAAATCTCTTAGCAACTTGCTCTTTTTTGCTTATTTAGCGTTGTAAGATTTGCCCACATTGTGGGCTCCAGTTCATTTATTCTCACTGCTATATAGAATTCCATCTTGAGGATATCCTCACACTTCTCCAGTGCTCCTATTCTTGGACATTTAGATTGTCTCCAGTTTTTCATTATTACAGTGCTGCAGTGAGCATTCTTTTACGTATTTTTATTTACGTATTACAGCATTCTTTTACATATTTCTTTGTGTACCTGTGTGAGAATTTCTTGAGGGCATAAACCCAGAAGTAGAATATCTGGGTATCTTTAACTTAACTTTACTAGATATTTACAAATAATAAAAGTAACTGAACTAACTTGTATTCCCATCAGTCCCCAAAAGAATTTTAATGGCCCAAATCTAGTGGACCTGGGACAAGATACTTGCTTGAAAATACTTATAAGAGGTGATGTGTGGTACATGGGAGGCATTCTGAGAGTTATGAATACAGAAGAAGCCCACTTGCTAAATTTTGCTCAAGCATCTGGATCGGGATGGGATCAGTACTGTCCAGAATTCCTTCCAAGCCAGAGATTGCACAAGGACTGTGAGAAAAGGAGCTACACTTCCCTGTGTACAGTGACAGAAGAATGACTCGGAGCAGCAAGCGGGTGGAGGAGCCCTGTCTCTCGCGCATGGGGTAGCAGTAACCCAGCGCCAGTCCCTGCTCTGGTATTACACCAGAGAGCTCTCGCTTTTGTCTTAGAGCAGTGCCTTCTACATCCTCCCCACAACTCTGCAGGCTTCATGGCCCCCCGCTAGGGGGACTGTTCGGGGAAACTGAAGGAGGGCAGGTCTCTGGTTCCTTTCCATCCCTGCCCTCACTTTAGCCAGTTTTATTTGAAGAAAGGTTACCTCAGCTAAAAAATGTCTGAAGATGCTGATCTTTGATAATCCTTTTCCCAGGAGAGCAGGCAAGTCCTAACCATATGTGCCCAGTTCCTGAAGTGGAAGCTGCCCCAAGAAGTGTACTGCAAAGATCCCTGGTACATCAGCCCTCGGGAAGCTGGAGCAGTCTGCAGATTCTTTGTATGTGAGCAATAATGGCTTGTTCACTCCTTTATATGCTAGCAGGCTTATTTTTTCTGATGTTGTTTTTAATGGAGGAACATGACATAAAGGAAACATTTCCCATCCCTTTCCACATCAGCAGCTGATATCCATGAACTGTCTTGTATTGGGAATCTATTTCTCTAGTTTCCTCCCAACTGAGTCACAGACTCCACTTTCTATTACCACCTTTCCTCATATAAAAGACTCTCTTTTGAATTCTTGGGAGCCCCCCTAACCTGGGTCAGAGGCTATGGGGTCAGGCTGATAATAGTATGTGCTCAAAAAACTATTCATGGAGTGAATTAAACTGCAGTTGTGTATTGCTTTTACAATGATCTCTCATCCTTTTCTTGGATATAGTGGATTGTTTTACCCTCCATCAGAGCATGTTTAGGGAGCCCCAAGCAAGAGTTGCCATGCTGTTGTAGGCCATGGAGCATGATGACAGCATGCCACTGGCTCTGCTAGGACCCAGATGGCATCCTTCTTGTCACAAACTTGACACAGACTACTGGGGCCAATCTCAGGGGCAGGCTGGAGCCAGGGCAGCTTCAGGGGGCCCATCCATGGTTTTCTGGACATCTGACTCTAGGACTGCTGGGATCCTACTATGAAGACACGAGGACTGACTATTCCCAGGAGTCTTCCATATGTGAAACCTGTTTAGGATCCAGTGCAGGCTCCTCTGATCAGACTTATGGGGTTAGGAAGCCCCACAGTACCATTGTGTCAGGCTTGCCACTAAGGATTATCTCTCTGACCTATACCCGAGGCACTGATGACAGTATTTACAGCAGAAATTCAGTGCTCTCAATGCATAAGATTAGAGATTATCCATGTGACATTATAAGATCTATGGGAATAGAATCTGTTGGTCCTCTTCGTATCCCTGAGCTGCCTGTCTTTGTAACAGAACCACTGAGAGGTGCATTTATTCATCCAGTAAGCATCCAATATGCAACAGGCCGTGGAGAACCCAGAAACATGGCAAAGTTATAAACTTCCTAAGGGAGCTTGCTAGCCGGTAAGGGCAATAAAACCTCTGTGGAAAATTAAATAGAAACTCAAGATGGAAAATGATATGTGAAGAGAGGGGTACCTGCAGAAATGCTCAGAGCCGAGTGAGGTCAGGAAGGCAAGAGGGATCTGGGAAGAGCCGATAGGGAGGCAGAGCTCAAGGCAGAGCTGAGGGAACAGAGAAGACTTAGATACAGAGAAGTAGAGATGGACTTAGAGGCATCATGGGCACAATCTGGGGCATGAGGGGGTGTGAGCACGGTGTATCCAGAGGATGTAACTTTGTCTAGGGACTTGTTACTGTGGCATCACATTCATTAAGCAACTGCAGTTATTGTTTCAAGTGCCATATTCTATGTGTCTAACGTCTGGCATCGTCCCTGGCTCTGGAAACTACAGTGGGGCTGACAAAAACAGTGGTGTACTTCACTCCTTTCTACTCTTTTTTTCCCCACTTAGGGAAAAAAATGCCAGGGGACAGTTAACCTCCTCGCCCAAACATTGATGTTCTCCAAGAACGCAAAGCTTCCTATCAGGAGAGCAGCAGTCTTATTCGTAGGTATAAACACTCCTTTTATTTCTACAGTCACTTTATCCTATATCTTCCCAAACTGTGTTGTTGAGTATCCCCGTTCTTTATGAACGTGATCTTGAAAACACTTCCTTGGAGAAAAGGGCTGTTATCTCTAGCTAACTATAAGGCACTTGAAAGTCAAGTTTTTAGAATCTAATTATCAAAAGGCCAATTCTGCCAACTGCTTAGAGCCAAAGCCAGACTACAGCCTCACTGACTTTATCCTGCATTTAGGACTCTTATTAAAGTACGTGGATCACAGTGAGCTCAGGATGAAGGGCACTGACTGGATAGAGAACGGTGAGTGATCACACACTTGGGTTTGGTTTGGGGTGCCTCACGTTTCGAGAGAGATCTGAGGTGGTGACTATGGGCAGGCTCTCTTCTCTGACAGATCTGAGACCCTGGGAACCAGAGAGCCTGACTTTTGCAGTAATAAAGACCTTGGAGATCTCATCCCAGTCCAATTCCCCCATTAGGACATGACCCTATTTGTCTGGAAACCAGCTTTGATGAGTGTCTCAGGAACAATTCCTGATTCCACCTAGAAATACCATCTTACTAAATTATGGCAATAGCTCACAAGTACCCACAGAGATGACTGCAGCCCTATTTTCTATAAGCAGTTGTCCTGTGAGGTGGCAGAACTTAGTAATACAGAGGCTTATAGTCATATAAGGCAACCATCATGTAAATGGTTTCCTGAATTGTCAGTGAGTGGAAATTTTCAATAACTGTACAGCTTTGAGGATTTAGCACTCAAAGAATTATTTATTCCCACTTAAGAAGTAGTCCTACAATTAGAAAATGCCATGAAATGCCAAGCCTCATGACCCCAAAGTATGTACTATGAGAACCAAATTAAAATCCTGGGGGCGTCTGGCTGGCTCAGTTGATAGAGCATGATACTCTTGAACTCGGATGGTGAGTTCAAGCCCCACGTTGGGTGTAAAGATTACTTTTTTTTTTTTAAGATTTTATTTATTTGTCAGAGAGATAGAGAAAGAGAGAGCACAAGCAGGGGGAGCGGCAGGCAGAGGGAGAGGGAGAAGCAGGCTCCCCACCGAGCTGGGAGCCCGATGCAGGACTCAATCCCAGGACCCTGAGATCATGA